GGCCGTATTGGGCTTCATTCCCTCCACTTCCTTATTTTAAGCTACTCTAAGACCTCTAAACCTACAGATAGCCATCCTATGGTCTTCTAGGAGTCCTTCTGGCTGACTTTCCTTCGATCTTTGAGGGTCTTCGAGTTTTATTTCCGACCCGGACAATTTTAGGGGTCTACAATAGAGAACAACTCATAGTGCCTCTAAAGAGTAAATGCTCTCCTAAGCCTCATGTCTTCAATGCTTTAAGTCCTTTAAAATCCTAATCCAATACACCCCCCTTAGTATAATTATTAAAAGTTTAAATTACAAAATCAAGCTTATACCGGTATAAGAATTAACTAATATATATAATTTTAATGGCCAACTTTATACACCTCGGCCAAAATATATTAGAAGGCAAAAATATGATTGAAAAAAATCCAAGTCACATATCGACTAGAGATTAGACTATTAATAATATATAAGTGAAAAGTAACCTTCACCTTACAGGTTGATTTTGTAGGATTGAGTTAGACTCAAATTCATTATTCTAAGATGAGAATTGTTTTCCACTTTGATACGTGGATAAATGGTGGGTGACCCATTTAAAGTGGATCTAGATGATTTTGATACTATCTTAGGGTTGTTTTTCACTTATATATTAGTTAATTGCTAGTCGATGTGGAATTTGTATTTTTTTTAATAAACACCAAGTTAAAAAGAATATGTAGTTATTAATAAGAGTTTCTGACATAAAATAAAATAAACTAAAACTCTGTGTATAAGAAGTAACATATATTGTATTGATACAGGGGCTAAAGAAGTAATTTGATGCCACTTATTATTTCTTGTGCCAGTGGTGTACACCCTTGTACGTGCTACGTTGATGATGTTTTTAAGAAGTTAACTCTTGGCAACATCAGAATCACCCATCAAGCATATGTAAAATTTGTTTGGCTCTTTAATTAGCAGCTCTATGTTTCTCAACCTAATGCAGAAATATGTATAAGAAAAACCAAAAACAGTTAATATATAGTACGCATAATACAACAGAAAATAGAAATTTCAATTTTTTTTGTTATTTGACCCACAAATTATAATGGACTAGTACTGATTGATTGGATACTCTAGGTTCTCCAAGCTTAGAGCAAGTCACATAGCAGTACTCATCTTGAAAAGCATTTAGATTATAGCAAACATAAGGATTTTAATTGGTAAATGAGTTAATCATCTATACACTGTCAGTGTAAAGTTTTTTTACATTGGCAACCAATTATATCTTTTAATTGTGCTATATCACTATAAACACATTTACTTTTAACAGTGACATGACACAATTAAAAGATATAATTGGTTGTCAGTATGAAAAAACTTTATACTGACAGTGTATAAGTGATTAACTCTTGGTATATATCATTGCATACATAAAAAAATAGGTAAAACTAATTAGAAAACATATCCATAGTTGAACTATGTTTGACTCAATGGTGGAAGAAGCATCCTTTTGGCTTTTTGGCTTCCATCATCGATTTTAGTTGAAGTAGAGAATAATGCTCGCCCATCCATAGTTGAACACTATTCTACACAATTCCACCATCAGCATGAAAGCCATTGAATTTGAACCAATCACAAGCATTCATTCAAGAGAACCAACAAAGAAAAAGACAAAACTTATATATATATGTTGTCAACTTATGGTCCATAAAGTTGTTATATCATTTTTCTCATTACCAATATGAGTATCCAATTCTATTGGTACATAAAGAAATAGATAGAAATTTTTAATGAAATGAAAAGTATTAATCTAAGATTTGCACAAAAAGTATGGAGATACTGTTAGTGTGCCTAAGGAGGACAAATATAGTAATCTAGCAAAAGTGGTGGTTCAAAAGAATCTCCAGACGAATTTTTGAGGTCACTAGAATGAAGAAACTATATATCTTGCAATTCGCTTCAAATGTAATCAGTAAGTAATTAGATGCTTCACAGAAATCAACTTAGATTCAAGGTGCTGTAAGAGGTGATGCTGGCCATCCACACTGTTAGAGACAACTAAAAATTGCCCTTCCCAAGTCAAGAACTGCAAGATTTAACTACTAATGGAACACTTAATCTATGGCTGAAAACTATAAATCATATCGATACATCTTGGTTTCTTCTTTCAATGATGGATAGCATTAGACATAAAATAAACATTTGATCTCATTCCTTAGTTTATATTTCAAATAAAAATCGTATCACTAAAACCCCATGTATTATAAAAATCACATCATTCAAATAAAGTAACTACTCGCATAATGACTAGACATGGAGTATCTTATGTAAATCACATTCTAATTACAGAAGAAAAGAAAAAGTGATCAGCACTACCCTGTACAAAGTTTATCTATAGAACTAATAGAAGAACAAAGAAAGAAATTGAAATTTGAAAGAAATTGTTCTATGCCTTATTTTATTCAAACAGTAAATAATATACAAGAGTATAAGCACAATTCAAGACTACAAATTAGGTGACACAATCACACTAACTTGCCTAAGGATATTGACTAACTAGATTACAAAAGATATTAAAAATATTTACAATAATATTATTT